ACGTAAAATTCTTGTGTTGCCTTTGATTTAATTTTTCCGCATTAGTTTTTATTCCCATTGATTGATTTACTTGTGGGGAATCACATCGATTTTCCCTAACACAGAGGAGAAAATGTTGTTAGTGCAATACTCTAAAGAGATCATGAGATCAAGTTTTGTTGATTGCTATATAGATGTACGATCATGTTCAATCCACATAACTTTCCCTTCAAATAAAACTTACGTCTCAAGTTTTGAACCCTCAATCTCTATTATGTATCAACTTAAGTTTCTAAAAGAAAATAACGAAAACTTAAGAAAGTGCATAGCTTGCATACAAGAAACTAAGTGGAAGGGAGAGAAAGCTAGGGAAATTGAGGATACTGGTTTTAAACTTTATTATAGTGGTAAGGATAGACGCAGGAATAGGATAGGAATCATGATTGCCAAGGGTCTTGTGGAAAGTGTGGTGGCGGTCACTAGGAAAGGAGATATGATTATACTAGTTAAACTAGTTATTGGAGGGAACATAGTGAATATTATTAGCGCTTATGTCCCTCAAGTAGGGTTAGATGATCAGACTAAGAGGGATTTTTGGGAGCAAATGGATGAGATCTTACAGGAGATACCCGTAGGAGAGAACCTAGTTATATATGGAGATTTTAATGGCTATGTGGGCATAGATAAACTAGGTTATGAAATGGTGTATGGTGGATACGGTTTTGGTGACAGAAATGAAGCTGGAGAGAGAATCTTAGATTTTGCGTTGGCTTCTGACCTGGTGGTGGCCAATATTATGTATAAGAAGAGGGAGGAGCATTTGATAACCTTTAAGAGTAGATTAGTTAAGAGCCAAATAGATTACTTCTTAGTGAGAAAAGTGGACTGCCTAAAATGCAATGATTGTAAGGTGATTCCTGGAGAGAGTTTGGTCTCTCAACATAGGATTTTGGTACTAAATTTATGTTTTAGAGGGCAATACCAAGCTAGGAAGGATGGTGGGCATTGTAGGACGAGATAGTGGGACCTAAAAGGGGATAAACGAGAAATATTTAAGAATTGAATGGATAAGGAATGTACTTGGGACTTAGAAGGTGATGCTAACACTATGTGAAATTCAATGACCAATTGTATGAGGAGAATCTCAAGGGAAGTGCTTGGAGAGTCGAAAGGAACGGGACCCAGCTCTAGGGAAACTTGGTGGTGGAGGGAAGAGGTTCAAGTGATAGTTAAGGCAAAAAAAGAGTGCTTTAAAAAGTGGCAGAAGGATAGAACTGAGAAAAACATTAAGGGCTATAGATTGGCTAATAAGGAGGTCAAGAAAGTAGTGAGAGAAACTAAGTTGAAAGCTTATGATGACCTATACACTAGACTGGATAGTAAGGAGGGAGAGAAGAGGGTATACAAACTTGCTAAGATACGGGAGAGGAAAACAAAAGATTTTAATAAAGTAAAGTGCATCAAGAGTGAGGATTCTAAGGTATTAGTGAAGGATAATGAGATTAAGAAAAGATGGAAGAATTATTTTGAGAAACTGTTAAATGAGGAACATGAAAGTATGACAATAGGGGAATAAATAGTCAGTAATACGATAAACCAAGACTATAGGTTCTATCGCAGGACTAGGAACTTTGAAGTGGAGATTGCACTTAAGAAGATGAAATCAAATAAGGCTTTAGGACCTGATGATATCCCTATTGAAGCTTGGAAGTGTTTGAGTAAAAAGGGAGTTACTTGGTTGACTAGGTTGTTTAGCAAAATTTTGTTGACTAGGAACATGTCAGATAAGTGGAGGAAGAGTATTTTAGTGCCAATCTATAAGAATAAAGGTGATATCCAGAATTGTAAAAACTATAGAGGAATCAAGCTAATGTGTCATATAATGAAAGTGTGGGAGAGGGTGATGGAACATCGATTGCAAGACATAACACAGGTGTCAGAGAATCAATTTGGGTTTATGCCTGGTAGGTCAACAATGGAAGCGATCTATCTTTTGAGGAGAGTAATAGAAAAGTATAAAGAAAAGAAAAGAGACATTTATATGGTATTTATCGACCTTGAGAAAGCATATGACAAAGTGCCCTGAGATATAATATGGTGGGTGTTAGAGAAGAAAGGGGTGACAAAAGGCTACATTGACGTGATTAGGGACATGTATGAAGGGGTGGTGACCGCTATTAGATTGCCAGCTGGAGAGACAAATGAATTTCCTATCACTGTAGGGTTACACCAAGGATCTACCTTAAGTCCTTATCTTTTTACTTTAGTTATGGACGAGTTGACGATAAATATTCAGAATGACGTGTCATGGTGTATACTTTTTGCAGACGATATTGTGTTAGTAGATAAGACTAGAGAAGGAGTTAACACAAAGTTGGAGATTTGGAGAAAAGTTCTTGAATCTAAAGGATTCTGGATAAATAGAACTAAGACAGAGTACATGGAGTGAAATTTAGTAACAGTAACAATGAAAGCAGAGGAGAAATGAAGATTGAGAACCAAGAACTACCTAAGAGTGAACATTTTCGTTATTTAGGGTCGATTATCACAACAGCGGGAGAGATTGATGCAGATGTGGTCCATAGGATTAAGGCGGGATGGTGTAAGTGGAGAAGTGCGTCTAGGGTATTGTGCGATAAACGAATACCCACTAGACTAAAAGGTAAGTTTTATAGAACAGCTATTAGACCAGCTATGTTGTATGGGACGGAATGTTAGGTAACCAAGAAACAACATGTAGATAAGATGAGTGTGGCTGAGATGAAGATGCTAAGGTGGATATGTGGTAAGACTAGACAAGACAGGATTAGGAATGAGTGTATTCGGGAATGGGTAGGAGTAGCACCGATAGAAGATAAGCTGAGAGAGAATCGTTTGAGATGGTTTGGTCATATTCAACGGAGACCAACAGAGGCAGTAGTGAAGAGATGCGATGCTGTAACAGTAGATGGAAGTGTTAGGGGACGGGGTAGGCCTAGATTAACGTTGACTAGCGTTATAAATAGAGATATGAATCTACTTAAGTTGACTAATGAAATGGCCTTTGATAGGACCGCGTAGAGAAGAAGAATTCATGTAACTGACCCCATTTGATGGGACTTAAGGCTTGGTTTGATTTGATTTATTATTCTTTGCCTACCAGGTTGGCAAAGGAAGATTGCCACACAGATGTATGGTTATGTGCAACTTGAACAACTTTTCCTAGATGCAAATACAACTTATTGCTCATGTTTTGAAGTCTCAATCTGTATCAACTTAGTTTTCTAAAAGCAAATAAAAGAAACTTAAGGAATTGGAATCAATCTATTGAAGTTCAAGAAAAGAATAGTTGGTACGCCAATGGGGATTGTGGACCCCTAGTCCCCTGTGTTTGCTTTTTAAAATTAACTTCTCTTGAACGATTGATTGAAGAAGTATTGTTGGGAAAAATCTAAGGTTGCGTTTGGTAGAATTTTGTAAATATGATTTGAGAAAATGAGTTGTATTTTAAGTTTGTGAGTTGTGAAATTATGATTTGAGTGTAGAAAATTTATTTGGTTATGGTTTTTGAATAGAGTGTTGAATTGAGTTTTGAATTATATGTAGAATTGAGTTTTGAAAGTTTGCTTTGACATGTGAAGTAAGAAAATTTGTTTAGTTATGAATTTTGGAAAGAGTTTTCAAAACTTAATTCAAATTGTTATAACTCATAACAAAACACACTAATTTCACACTATTGAAAATTCTGATCAACACTCATAACCAAACTCTTTTTAAAATTCAATTAAAAAATATTATTATTAATAGAAAATAGCATTAATCAATTTTTTAATTGAAAATACTACAAAGGAAATTTTTTTTTAAAAAAATAAATATTCAAAAAATTTAAATCATTAATATTTAAATAATCTAAAAAATTTAATAAGTAAAAAATTAAAATAAATATTCAAAAAATTTAAACCTTTAAAATTTAAATAATTTAAATATTCAAAAAATTTAAATAATTTAAAATTTTAATATTTTAAATTTAAAAACAACTTTACACTTAAATCGTAACCAAACACATAAAACAAAACTCAATTAAGAAATTATTTTTAAAACTCATAACCAAACACATAATTCGAAACTCCATACTACTTTTACAACTCTACACTCAAATTGTAACTAAATACATAACAAAAAAATTAAAATATTTAAAAATATTTTTATAAAATAGAGTTTGAATTTATTTTTATAAAATATTTTAAAATTTAAAAAATTAAAATCATAATATTTAAAAATATTCAAAAAATTAAAAAAAATCGTAACATATTTAAATATTAAAATATTTAAAATCTTAACAAAATTAAAATATTTTTAAAATATTTAAAATATTTAAAAAATTAAAATATTGATTTGAATTGAGTTTTGAATTATGTGTTTGGTTATGAATTTTGAAAAGTAATGATTATGTTTTGAATTAAGTTTTGAGAAATAAGTGTAGAATTATGATTTAAAAACTCAAAACAAACACAATACTCAAATCAATAGGTGAAACTATAATTTGAAAGGATTAGCAAACGGAGCCTAAGATTTCCCACCACTGTAGTAAAGGTGTGTTCGTTGATGGAGCCATTCTTTTACTGTATAGCCATCTGAGCTTTGACAAATACACACATTTAAGTTATTCATAAAATCGAAACAGATGGGCGTTGATTCCATTTTCCATATCACCACCGTGGTAGCATTTTGCTTTGCCATAAAAAAAACTGCTGTCTTTGTAGAATTTGTGAAAGAAGAAGACCCTGTAACCATGGCAGAAACTATACACTACAGGAAATTCGTTCTTTAGTGGCGTTTTTAAAACGCCGTGAAAAGCCTGAAAAATGCCATAATATCTTATAGTGACGTGTAAAATTTTCGCCGCTGGTAGGGCCGCCGCAATAGCTACCCAACGTTTAAAAAACGTCGCGTAAAATCTTTGACGACCGTCTCATCCTCCGTCCCAAATTAACGTGTGACGTCACAATGACGTCATTTAGGAAGAAGCGTCAAATTCGTAATTACAATAGTTCACTACGATGGTGCGTGTCCTCTGCACCAACAACCATGAAAAAGGGGAGCAACATGTCACAGTTGTCTAAATCCACCAAGCAAATGGTTGATATAACCGCAAAAAGTGGGAAAAGCCAATCACTTGTAACATCCTTCAATCTCCTGCACATATCTATGGAATGAATTGTGCTATTTATGCCCATGTAATTCATTATAAGTTATCTTAATAATCTAAATCGTTTTTTTTTTAGTCTACGATAGTATAATCAACACACAAAATTTTGATACAGAGTTCCGATACAAAATGGGATCCCGACAGTTAAATGGAAACAAAGATAATAACTAAGATTAAAGGCACACTACTTTTAGAATAGTAGTTTCTGACTGACAAAGATAATGAAAAAAAAATGTAAACATCATCAATAAAAACCTTAAGAGAAGTTTCTGACTGAATGCTATATACCCCTTAAAAATGAACTTCTCAACAAATTTTCCTTTGTTGTTTTCCCTGCCTGTTTTCCACATCATTTTTATGTATCTTCTCAACAAACCATCACACAGTGCAATTATCAGAGTATAATCCGTTTAGTGAAAGCACATGGTCAGGAATATCCCTACCTGTGCTCCAGAGCTTGAGGCTTGCTTTGCAACTTCATCCAGAAAATTAGTTGGAATGTCTTTTTCTGAAATAAATTCAAAATTTAAGCTTTTCAAAAAATCCAGAAATCACAGACAAACAAATCAATTCAATGGAAATTAACCACTAGTGAAAAAGTAAATAACGCAAGTAGTGCAGATAGTGTGGGAAACACAAAACAACCTTGCAAAAAGGGTACTGAAACCTCTTCTCCACCAACTCTCAAGACATTCTCCTTCAAATCAATTATGCACTGCAACCAGTAGCTATTTAGAACTAACTATTTAACCACTCTGGATTTTGGAGAAAGTCATAAATTTAAACAGCTTGAAAGAATAACCATGTTACCTGGTGCTTACGAAGCATATCCAGCCCAAAAAGGAAATCCATATTAGGAGAATCCAAAACCACGAAGGAACAAGGGTAAAACACATTCCCAACCTAAAAATGTTTTTTTTTTTAAAAAAAAAAAAGAAGAAAGAAGAAAGAAACAAAGATAAAATGTTAGCATACAAGTTTACAATAGTACAAAAAAGAGATACTAAACTTTCATCTCGCATAGTAAAGAATTTTTTTTAAAGAGAAATCAGATACATGTCATATATTCATCAACATATTTCAAACTAATAATAACCTGTAAGGCTAAGAGTGCACAAATGAGAGATGTGTTTCCATGTAATTACAAACTAAAGGTAAGCACAATATTTTTCCACACCTTGCTTACACACCTTTTCCAGTCTAAATTCTGAGTTCCAAATTCAATCCTGAGTAGCTTGATAAAATGTATACATAGTTCAATGGATTTTATTAACTTTCATAGTAAAATTGTGATAAACATTAGAAATTCAAAATCATAATGTTACACATGCTTGGCATCAATCAATAATGTTGACTACTGTTATGTCACCCTATTTGATATTATAAATTATATCAAATTAGTGGTTCTTTAAACTTAAAACTATGTATGTATCACTATTAAAAGGAGTATTGATTTAATGATGAAATAATTAACATACCTATTTAGAGTACACCGGCTAGTAAGATCAAACATAAACAAAATTGCTACTGCATCTTTGCAAGCAATAGGAATTTGATCAAGTGACCTATTGTCTCCTACATCCAAATTAAAATTACAAACAAACAAACATTTTAAGTAAATAGAATCCAAATTTTTTAAACTAAAGAACGAAAAAATTACAGAGAAAGTATAACAGATCAGTAGATTTGACAATGAGAAAGTAGAGAATGAAAAATATACCTGATATAAGAGCAAGAGAGATATGCTAGAACAGATCGATTTTGGATTTTGGATCTGCGATTTGATGAAGAACATATCGATTTGATGAAGAATAGAATGGATCGATTTGATGAAGAACAGATCGAGTTCGAGTTCGATGAAGAACAGCTAGAGCAAAGCCCTCGAGCAATAGAGATCGATGACGAATAGCTAGAGAGTTCGATTGCGAGCGACAGAGATCGATGAAGCGCAAACCATCGAGGGTTTTGGATTTGCAATCGAGCAAATCAAGGGTTGAGAATGAGAAACTGAGTGAGCGAGCGAGCGAGAGAGTGTGTTTGAAACAGAGCGAGAGAGAGTGAGAGCTTCAAATCGAGGGTTTTGGAAGAGAGGGAAACTGAGTTGTGGTAGAGACTGAGAAAGAGAGACTGAGTTGAAAGAGACGGAGGTTTTGACGATCAATACATTGACCCAATACGACGCCGTTTCACTGAGATCAGACACAACGTTTTTTGAAAATGTTGTGTTTTGTTAATTTATAGTGGCATTTCCCTAAACGCCACAAAAAAAACATTACTGTAGACCATTTTTCCTGTGGTGATAGCTGGGTCTTTTGTAGCCTTTGTGGTAGAAAGGTTGGGAGATGTACTCATCCAAAAAAAGAATTTGTTGCATGGGGTTAGTGGCCAAGTTGAGGAAATGCAAAGGGAGTTGAATCGAATGAAATGCTTCTTGAAAGATGCAGCCGAAAAGCGAGAAGAAGGAGATGAGAGAGTCCACAACTAGGTCACCGAGATCAGAGAAGCTACTTATGATGCTGAGGCTATAATTGACACATACATCATCAAAGTTGCATGTAGGAGGAAAACAGGTAGTATCCTCAATGTCCTCATGAGGTATTGTTGTGTCATCAAGTTCAAGGTCGGGGTGGAGATCGAGTCTATTAAAGCCAACATCTCTAAAATCACGACAAGTTTAGATACTTACGGCGTAAGGGCAATAAGCGAAGAAGAAAGTTCGAGATTTGAGAAGCAATGACTGCTAAGGCGGTCTTATCCTCATATCGTGGAGGAGGATATTGTTGGCTTAGATGATGACATAAAAACAATAGCGGAACATTTGGTGAAGGAAGAGAGACAGTGTCGAGTTGTTTCCATTTGGGGAATGGGCGGTCTTGGCAAGACCACCCTTGCAAAAAAGGTTTACAATTACATTGATGTTAGGCGTCATTTTGATTGTTTTGCCTGGGCTTTATATCTCAACAATGTAATACTAGAGAAGTTTTGGAAGGGATTCTAATCGAACTTACCTCTCCATCACATGAAGAGAGGACAAAAATCAAAACAATGGGTCATGGCGAGCTAGTTGTGGAACTTTGTCGAGTTCAAAGTGAGAAGAAATGTTTGGTGGTTATCGATGACATTTTGAAGGATGAAGATTGGAAAATTTTAAGTCTAGCCTTCCCGGAGTAAAATTGCAGGTAGCAAAATACTGCTTACTACTCGCATACAAGTAGTGGCTTCGTACGATGATCAACGCCACGAACTGAGGCATTTAACTGAACTTGAGAGTTGGGAACTGTTTGGAAAGAAAGCATTCTCGAGGAGAAATGTTACAGGTAATTATTAACGTCATCCACCCCACACAATGAAAGTAATGCTCAAAATTTTAAATTTCAAATTGAGATATTTCTTTCATCTGTCTTGTCTTTTGATTATGATAGGAGTAAGCTACACAATTTTTATAAGGAGTAATACAAAAATGGCAATTTTTCTCCATGCTGTGATAAAGAAGGCATAAAATTAAGAAGGCTGCTATATATTACCTGAATATTTTATCAATTTTTTTTATTGCTTATATGACTTCTCACATGACATGATAAGTTGCACCAATTTATAATACTTATGAGTTTATATTTTACTTTTGTAATTCTTAAATAGGTTAGAAATTAAATATTTTAGAGATTTAATAGATTCAATCGATAATTTAGGTACTAAATAGACTTTGACTTATATATATTTTAGAAATTTAGTAAACTCAATCAATATTTTAGGAACTAAATACACAATTTGACGATAGTTTAAGGATATAAAGTGTAATAAACCCTTTTTGGATTTAAAGAAAACTATACAACTTTATTAATTCTAGTATTTTAATTGAAAAATACTATTTCAATAATTTGCAAAAGAGTTTAAAAAAAAATCCAATTTAATTCAATTCAATAAATTTAATTCAGCAACATTTTATTACTTTCTAGGGAGAGGTTACAACGCGTACTTGCATACCGTAGGAAAAGTTATATTTTTCATGAGAGAAGTTATACATTTTGTAAGATGAAAGTTACAATTTTTGTGATGAAAATTATGAATTTTGAAGTTTTGATGTGCACTTGAAAGTCATGTAAACTAAAATTATACTTTTTATGAGAGAAGTTATACATATTTTGAAAAGCAAAAAATTGTATTTTTTGTGAAGATAATAAGTTAAATTTTTGTGACAAAAATTATACATTTTGGGAGAGAAATTATATTTTTTGCATAAGTTGCATATGATGTGCAAAGCATTCTCCTATTTGGGAACTTAGATATGAGAATTCTTATTCAAAACAAACAAAAAAATATTTAACCATCTTCCGCAAGTCTACCTTTTAAAATACTATTTTCCAAATCGATAGATGCATATTATTTTTCAAGGTAGATAAAACCATGTTTATTGAATTAGTACTTAATTGGACATAGGTCTTAAAAAGTTTTATTTATTAACCTAAAATAAAGTTTACAGGACTTGTTAGTATTTTGAGAGAAAAGATAAGTTTCGATGAAGTAGAAAAATTTGGAGGCAAATTACACCATCTGTCTCTATACTTTACTCCTTATGTCATTTTGATTCCTACTTTCAATTGGTTCAATTTTGACCTTTAATTTTAGATTTTGTTTCAATTTGGTTCAATTAATAATATCATTAGTATTTTTTGAGAAAAATTATCACTAAATTAGTTGAGATTAACTAACTATAATTTTGTCCTTAAAAATATGGCAAGTGACACTTAGACCATCTCCAACGGTTCATCAAAGTTGACATCAAATTTAAAATTTGGTGAAAAAATTACTGTTTGGTGCTCCAACGGTTGCACCAAATCAATATCAAAATGAGATTTCACCAAACAATTCATCAAAATGAGGACAGAATATTGATTTCATCAAAACACTGTTTGTGACTGTTGGGAGAGACCAACCGGTCAACCAGCCGGTTGCCCAACCGGTCGACCACCAAGAGGTTCAAACAGTTCCAAGAAAAGGTTCAAATAGTAAAAAAAAAAAAAAAAAAAAAAAAAAATTAAGTCAATAATTTTTTGTATTATTTTACTATTATTCTTTAAAAACTAATATTCTGTTTAGTTTTAAGTTTTCAAAAATATTTTTGTTAATTTTAAAATCTTTTTTTTTAGTGTAAACTTTTTACTAAATAAGTGCACTTTGTTGGAGCGAGTGATATCAGATTTGGTAAAATGGGTCATTTTTTACTCAGATTTGATGAAAAAAGAAATGCACCGTTGGAGATGCTCTTATGCGTGTATTTTTCCAAAAAAAAAAAAATATTGCTAAGAGTTATAATCAATTAAATTAAATTGGGACAAAATTATAAAGTTAAGGTAAAAAACAATCTAAGTACAAAGTATAGGGACTTCCACCGTAATTTGTCCAAAATTTGGAGGTGGCTAATTTTGGGCTGTCTTCTTCAAATGGCTTATTGTACATTTGATAAACACAGGTACTAGGTTACCCATGCTACATTCGTTTCTATTTTATATATATCAATAATTAATATATATAGGTTATTTTACTTCTTAATTCGCAAACCTACTGATAGATGACTCACTTTTTGTGTGTGTATGTAACATTTTAATTTTGTAGAATTTGAGTCGAGCACTGAAATGATGGAGTTAGGGAAGGAAATGGTGAAACACTGTGGGGGTCTACCATTTAGGAGGACTTCTAGCAAACAAACACAAGATGGAGGAGTGGAAGATGGTGAGCAGAAACATCAATTATTACTTAAACACGAAGGGTGAAGGCAGCCATGAAAGAGTTTGAGACATTTTAGCTTTAAGTTACCAAGACTTGCCGTACCATCTCAAGGCATGCTTTTTGTGTTTGAGCCATCTTCCTGAAGATTATGAAATATGTGCAGAAAAATTAGTTCAAATGTGGATGGCTGAAGGCATCGTGTCATCATCATCAGTACCACCAGCACAAGTAGGAGAAATGAAGGTAGAAGACACAATGCTGGATGTTGGAATGAGTTATTTAAGTGAACTAGCACAGAGATGCATGGTTCAAGTCCAATTCAGCAGAAGGATTAAACTTTGTCGCCTCCAATATCTCATGCGGGACTTATGCTTGTTGAAAGCCCAAGAGGAGAATTTTCTCAAGGTTGTTCGCGTTGAAGCCTTTGATAATCAACAGCTCAAGTGGGAGAACTCTGCCTCTTCATCTTCATCGTCACCATGGACTAAAATTCATAAGCTTGCTGTGTACTATTTTGGTGATCATGATGCGAATAATATAAGGCAAGAATATATTAATCTCAAAGAATTAACTAATCACCACCATCTGCGGTCATGCCAATTTTACTTCTTTGGAAACGATTTGGAAATCTCTGGTTGGAAACAGATAAAATCACTTTTCAAGGGCTTCAAGTTGCTTAGAATTTTAGATGTGGAAGGAATTTATATCGGAGTAAAAGGGAAAAGGAAGTTGCCAAGAGACATAGGAAACCTCTTTCACTTGAGATATTTAAATATAAACGTGTCTTGGATTGAAAGTGTGCCTTCTTCTATAGGCAACTTGAGATTCCTCCAAACCCTAGATCTAAGGGTATATGCAGATGAAGTTACAATAGAAATACCCAATGTCCTGTGTACGTTGGAACAATTGAGACATCTATATCTGTAATACCCCTATTCCGTAATATGTTAATTGGTCCTTAACATGATGTGATTATGTATTTTGATATGATTTTGTGTTCCACTATGTGAAAATATGTGGTTTGAAGTTCTATCTGTTCACCGTAGGAATATCTGTTTGAATAATCAGCTTTGGAAATTTAATTGAGGGCCTTATCGGCCACAGAACCCGAAATCGATTACGCCATTGTGGTTGGCATAATTTTTAGAGCCTACGGTGAAATTTAATTGAAAATTGATTCTGGTCAATTTAAACTGATTGAAATGATAAATTAAGTACCCCATTATTTTATATTATTATATTGACTTAGTGGGACTTAATATATTTGAGCACTACACCTTATTTCTCTCCCTTGGCTTATTTTGGCTGATTCTTGAACTCAATTTGAGAGGGAGAGCCGACCATAGGAGGGAGAAAGAGGGATTATGCAACTTTGGTCTTGAAACTTGGAGATTGGAAGTCTAATTCAAGATTTGATCATAGATTGTGAGGATCAAGCTCCTAGGTGAGCTTGGCTATTTTAGTGATTTGGAATCACTTGTTATGTCATTTCAGTCCATGTTTTGTGCTTACATGCTTACATTTGTTCTCCTTTCAATGCCTTGAAGAGGTGTGGTCTTATGCTCCATGTTTGG